TGTGTTAAGTTTTTATTATAAAAAAAATGTATACATTATTAACTGGCCATGGCTGTGCATACCATTTTGTAGTTATCTTAAAGGTCAAGGTCAATGGTACTGATTTGTGTGAAGCTTTTAAAGACTGAACCCAAAATACAATTTTGCATTTTCTTAAAACACAGACCAGCAGGTCATGAAAATAAACATCAATTGCAAAGGCAAAGCATTAGGGCATCTTCTGTGACAGCTGCATATGAAGGGTTCAGCTGTGTCCTCAAATCAGCTGAGTTTTCTGGATGTTAAACTGATGTGAAACTTACTGATCCTGAAAAGAGTTTGCTCACCTCCTGCTGAATTCTGTCCTGTTGAGCAATTATGGCCTCATCATATGCGAGGCAGTTCACTCCTGTAAGAGAAGGAGGACAGATTAATTAGGCTTCAGGAGGAAACACTCCAAACGAAGACAGATAGGCCACAATGATAGCCAGCATTGTACAGGCCAGTGAGTGGTAGTTTCAATGGGTCCCAGTGCACACAAGTTACTAGTTATGCACCTAGGCTAGTTACCTCAAAATCTTCTCATCACATGATCACATGATCTTGACATTGGATTACACCAACACACATACTACACAGATATCATCATGGCATGTTTGTACATGACAAAAATACCAAAGAAAATGAAGAATTACATATTTAACTCAATGTTTTTTGTAGTTTCTGTAGAACAAGCATATATTTTATAACATATTTTGCTAAAGATTGTCACTTAATATTTTACCAAAAAAAAGAAGAAAAAAAAAAAAGAAAACCATGATGAAGATGGTTTTGCCTTTTCAATGGCATATAATGCACCATTTATAATTAAATTTGAATTCTTTGAAAACAGGCGTATTTCTTCATGAGGTGGCAATCTGAATAACACACACGGGCTCAGTTTCTGTCCACATATTGTTGGTAGGCCCTCTTTCTATGAGCAACCTCACTCCATGGGCACCCAGTGCAGGCCCCCTGCCTGCACTGTCTATATTTACACCTAAGGCCAGTGATGGATGTTTCCATAAGAATCATTTAATGAATTACATGGCATCTGGATTTCAAATCTGCATCAGAACAGAGCCAAGGTTTATGAAACAATCCAAAAGAAAAATTGGTCAAAATTCATATCCCTTAATGAAGTGATCTCAAACTTTTTCATGACAAAGATCCCTAGAAAGACCCCCATTTGATATGATTTTGCTTCAGGGACCTCTATTTGGGAAGATTTAGTAGTCAGATATGATTGAGACCAGAATTCTGTAGCTGTCAACGACAGAGTGTTACCTGCAGAGGGAATGAAAACTATGATCAAAATAGTCACTCTTATGACTCTTACTGACATTGGGCTCACTTGTGTAGTGAATTAAATAGTAAAAAATGATCGATTCCAGATTTTTCAGGGGACCCCTGGAACTCCCTCAAGGACATTGCTGGAATTCCACGATACAACAAATGAGTGACAATAATGTTGAAATGCTGGTATGTTGGAAGGTCAATAATGTAGATTTACAATCTGGCAAATGCAGTAGCAAACAACAAAAATCCACTGTTAAATAATGATGCCATTGTTAAAGCTTAGAAATTCAAGAATAAACACAGCGGTGTGAGTATACACAAAAGTAGCCTGCTTTGCCCTCTAGCAAAACAATGGTTACAGAAAACCACCTGCACACACAGACAGTAAAGCTGTCTATGCAGGTATTATATGCAGCCCTGCCACCTAAACAATACAGCTGGATTATCATCTTTACATGCACAATACAACCGCAACACGTTTTCGCAATTACCGTCAAAAACAAGCCACAACACGGATTAGAAATAATTTGATTGATGAATTTGTTCATTAATAATCTCTCAAACTATTCTGGGTCGCTTGTTTGCAGGTGTAGGACCAGAAGCTGCACTGCACGTTGCATGCACAAATAAATCTGGCTGTATTGTTTGGGTTACACAAACCACCCGGCCGGACAACCTGTGGAGAAATGATGCAGCTCCAACACAAATTATTTCCCGGAGGCAAAGATGATTGGTGCGTTCAGTGACTGTCGTGTAAAAACCTGTATGTGGATCTGTTTTTGTTTATCAGTCAATTATTTTCTTGACATTATAAAGAGACAGGCGAGGTGTCTGCTTGGCGACACCAACACTGCACTTACGTCAATAAAAAAAAAGAATCAGATGGGTATAAATTAAAAATGTAACATAATGGAGATATTAATAAAGTATTTACGAAGACAGCGACATGCTCTCTTCACACCACATGCTGTCACCACAAGCAACATAAAAACAAGTTAATCCACAACACCGGCTAACGTCAGTCAGCTCAATTTAGCTAGCTCGACCTGTGCGAAACAAAACAAAATCTAGTCACGACGAATATGTTAATTTAGCTGACATAGAGGGGGTGACCTTTCCTTAATGTTCAGCATACACGTTCAGTATTTCCTTAGGTCAAGAACTCTGAAACTGTCATTTACTGTTGCCCTGTCTGTAACTAAACAACCGTTTTTTCTTTGTGTAGCAATGGTAGCTAGCTAACGTTAGCCAACAAGCTGTGGCCTCTGTCTCCCCCTCATCCCTGCATGTCAACCGCCGTTATAACGGAAAGGGCAACGACTTTAACACCGAGCAGACACTTGCATGGATGTTGGCTGCCTTTGTTAGAGAGGTGACCGCGCTGTTACATGGTTGTTTAATGTTGTAACGGTTTCTCTCACCCTCCACCTCTCCCTGTGATGATTCCTGCTGCTCTTCCGCCATCTTAGCTATCGAGATGTGTTTCCTCCTTCTGCATGACCTCATTCATTACACACTTCCGGGCGAGGCTAATTTGCCTGTTTGTGTTTGTTTAATATTTCTTAATAACAATGGTAGACATTTCCATGTCGAGAGAAGTATAAACAAAACTGAAATTGAACAAAACCAGTCTTGTTTTGGCTAAATGTATACTATACATTCTCCAACTGTGAGAAGTAGCAGGCTTTTCACACTGCATTCTCTTACTTTGCCCTTTTGACACAAACAATGTGAACATAAGCTCAGGGCCATACTATTCACACTGCACTATACCCGGGTTAAATAGCATCTTAAAGACGTGTTAACATTCCAAAATTCTATCTATTCGGTTAACTTAGACCCATGTCACAATGTGCCAGCAAGCCTTAGGTTGAAGTCTGGGTTAGCCTCTTCCCAGCTAACATTTGTATGTGGGGTCCATGTGGGTAGTAAATAGACTGATAAGTGGATTCTAAACGGGATTTTCCACAAGTTCCATAATAGGCTCATGCCAATTGCCCACATGGGTGGGTTTACGCAAGTGGGCCCCACATAGGTTATGCTAAGTCTACCTGGGCACCAATTGGGTATGGGGTCATCCCTGTGTTTCCAGGGTTCTATGTTTCCCAGGTTCTATGTTCCCCAATTGGTTGAGCGGTAAACATAGAACCCGGGGAACATAGAACCTTTTTTGCAGGGTTAAGTGGGGAACCTGGGAAACATAGATATGCTCCTGTGGGTATGGGCCCAAAATGGGCATCTTATCTGGGGCCCACACGTGGGCAATTGAAATGGGGCCATTGCGGAACTTGTGGGCAATCCCATGTTGCCCATTTTCAGCCCATTTACTACACATATGGGCTGCACACACAAATACTGGCTGGGTTGGAATGTGTCAGGATTGTGCTGGCGTGAACGTTTTCTTATCCCCAGGCTACAAGCTCCCTTAGCCTGGGGATAAGTATAGTGCAAAAAGCCCATAGTCTGAATCACAGTCTTTATTTACAATAACTTGTGGGTAGAAAACCCCCACATCACATACATAAAATCAACCAGCGCTGAGCAAATGCTGCCTCAATTTGTTTAGTTTTTAGCCACCCAAAAAAAAATGTCCACCAAAAAAATCAATATCAGTTTACCGCTATATTAAAAATATTTTTACTGTTTTGCCTGCTGTCTGACAGGCTTTTCCAACGGGGAATTAAAGTGGTTTTCTCAAAGCCAACAGACTTTATTGACAAACATGGTAATATTCCTTGGCACAACACTAAAGTTGCTAGTCTACTGTGGCCTCAATTGGTCAGTGTGTTAGGAAAAGTGGAGCAAAAATTAAAATATATATTTCTATGTGGCTGAAATTCATCGCCCTGACCACAACAGTATATTGCTTAGCTTCCATGCTGGTAGATTTGGTTTATCAATGGCAAGATGATGGCAAAGTAAGTTTTAAATGTTACAGCAGAAAATGACAACAGAAATCAATATTTGCCAATTTTACATACCTCAGGCATTGAAGTCAGTTGCTACTTATCTACTTAGAGGTGATTTGGTCCATTTTTGTGTGGCTTAGGTGGACCAAATGGGGGCCATGTAAATACCCTAATATTTGAACTGTTGTAGTTAGAGAGACATCTAAATCATTTTCATAGGAGGTCCCTTGACTGAGGGTCAAGGCCGGATCACCAACAACACAGAAGGGGCAAATGCTCTAAGGCTCCAGAACCTTGGGGGGCCTTAAAGGCCACACTGTGTGTTCACAGCGTGGTATTTGGTTCTTGGGGATTAATTGCAAATTAGTTTGGTAAGAATTCATTTGGCAAAACTAGAAACTAAAATATGAGAGCAATGCGGTGTCGTCTGCACTATTATGAATAATGTTCTGTTTTGTATGACCTTTTGTCAAAATCTAGTTTTAATACCTTTTATTGTTTTTGTTGATGTTATGCTTACATTGTTCTTTTTCCTGAATTAAGACCTTGCAGCTAGAGTAGGAGGAACAGGTGGTTAATAGGGCCCACAGCTCATCGTGTCCTTTAATCCAGTCCTGCCCAGGGCACCTCAATTTTGTTAATCAACCCCTGAAAACATTTTCACATGTTTCTCAACAGACAATTCCTAAGCAAACCAGAATATCAGTGTAAACCCCTCATATTAAGATCATTAAGAAATAGTTTTTACCCAAAAGCTTGTGTTAGGACCAACAATTTACAAAAAAAACATGCACTTTTATTTCAAACCATCATTACAATCTGATACCCATACATATCCCTTAAAACAAATGAAAATCCAGGCAAGTGACCAGGAAAATCATTTCCCCAGGTCACAGTGAAATTTCATAGTTAACATAGTTTTGCAGTAGGCTCAATCGGGTCCCTGCACTTTCCAGCAGTACACATCAGGGGGCACTGTCTACACTAAAAACAATCTGCACATAATGCCATTCATCTGCTGCTCATATTTGTTTTGTACTTACAGAAGGTAACAAATCAAAACAGTAGTAGTACAGTGTGATACATGTGTGCAGAACAAAATAATACTTCATATTTGCCAAAAAGGCAAAAGTGAGTTTTTTAATATTATCCCTTTGGCACATTGCTTCCCATATCAGGGCTGTAACAGAACCCAAATACATACAAATATACAAAATGTAACAACCACTGTTCTTATACAGATAAATAATACATGCCTGGTTTTGCCTCAGTATCAAAAATCACCAGTTTATGTCAAATTCCTCTTTGACAGTCGACTTGTCTTGAATGTTAAAGAGAAGTCCTGCAGGCAGAGAAAACTCTCCAACATACAGATGTCTGTGGTCTCTAGTAAGAGTCCAAGTGTATTTACAAAAGTATCACATAAAGAATGTATTTTACAAATGTACAGCAGGTTTTCCAACTTTAATCCTCTGTATATATGTTTGTGCATACATGACGGTACACAACATGTGAATGTTTTTATCTGTTTAGTGTGTGTGTGTATGTTTAATAAAATAGTATTAAAACTTCCATCCTCACTACATAGGAGAACGAGCAGGGTAAATTATGTATCTGCTATATGCGTGTGTAGCACAGGAATTTGCTTATGCTGTTGAAGTATATAGGCGAGATGAAAACTATGTCAATATGGAGAGTTAATTTATACACCTTTTACGTATTAAAATAAATACCTCCATTTCAAATGTTGTAAATGTCACTGTCATGCTTCTATGCATCCTCTATGTTGGCATAAATACAGCCAATAGATGGCACTAGAGGGCAGAATCAAAAGTTTGACACAACATCAGAGGTGACAGTGGAAGAGGTCGCAATATTGTACCTTTAAACAAAGGCAGCGCTGTAGATGGCAGTGGCCTGTGTGGCCATTATAGGCTATACATTCCGACATGTGAACGGAGAATTCTTTTCACTTTATAACCGACTCATTCTGTTCCGCCATTATTTAAAGTTCTTTCTGGTCTCCTACAGTCATATCACACTTGAACTACACTACACTGCCTGGTGGTACTGCTATGTTTTGTCCGTATCCATAAGCTTCCACAAAACATGCACAAATGCAGACCAAATAAACAAAGTACGGACAGAAGGCTCCATCTGTCTCCGTAGCTAACATTGAGCATACATGACCCCTAAGGAATCACACATTGGTATACTCTGGGTTTTTACTTACAGTTATTATTAGTATCTGATGTGCATAGACTAACACCAGTGCAGTTAACATTTTGAGTTCCACAGCCAGATTGTTATAATGTGTTACCTATGTATGTGTATGATTGTCTTTTTCCTTAGAAAGGGAACAAGCCTTTTCAGGTTGAGGAGAGACCAGTGTGTACCCATAGAACCCATTTTCATTCAGATATCTAGAGGTGAGAGTTCAGGGGACCCCTTTAAAAATGTCTATGCTGGTTGTTGCCTTGCCAAAATTTAGCCCAGCTTAGGAGAGTTATTTAGTCCCCTTCACTACAAGCTATGCTAACATGGTTGGTACTAATGGATGCCTTAGATTTTCTAGTTTCAGAGGATACATTATCTTCACACCATGCGTCTTAAAGAAAGTAATATCGTACTCGTATTATTATCGCCTGGTGGGGTTAGGGGGGCAACTGATTGTATGCCCACTGGCCCCCGCATTAGGGCACCACTGTGTTTTGGCTGCAATATGAAATCTTTATCTGATCCAAAATGTCTCAGCTCTTAAAGCCGCAACAACAGTAAGACAATACGGAGGTAAGAATGTTGCAGGTGTGGCAAGAGAGGAACAACCCCATGGTTTGGATCAGATCCCAAACAGTGTTGTGTAATGGAACATGACACAGGCAAAGCTACTAACACACTAAACACCTCTACAGTAAAAAATCCACGCTCAATACAGAGGTGTTGCAATCTAAGTTTCTGATTTACCAGCGTTCCCACAGCCTCCTCGACTTGTCCTGCGTTTCCTGATTTCCTACTGGTCATGTCTTTGAGTGCTTTCGACATCCCCCACAAAAGGAATGTATGCTGCATTCACCTGTTCGTTACAGCCAGGTAGAGCAGCAGATAGTGTATTGCGAAAGATGAGAAAAGGATATTGTCCGCAATTAAACACTGTAATAGCTGCATCGGAAATATTGCAACATCGTCTCTGTTTGTGCCAGTAATTCCGGGAATACACAGCATAATGTTGATCATCAGAAATCAGGAAGAAATCAGATGTCCAGAAATGTCCAGTTGATGCTTTAGAGTAGATTTTCCGTTTATTCTATTGCACCATGTTCCCACACAATAAAAAGACGCAGCATTGTAGTCAGTTGCATTGTTTTCTGGGCTTTGACCAAACTTTGCCAGTGTATCCACATTTGGCCCAAATCTAAGACCGGAACTGTCCAGTCTTGTAGTTTCATGTGTTCTTTTCCAGCTCCCTGTTAAACTATCTGGGCCTTGTGAATCAGGGAGGCATGGGGACTGACCACAGCCGGACTCGGCCGGGGTTTGGGTCGGATTGTGCCATTAGTCTGCTGATAGCGTGCACTGTGAGCCTCAGACACTTGGGAGCTGTTGGTCTCGCTGTCTTGGTCATCAGGATGCTCCTGGCTGGCAGGACCCCCCAAACCCTCATCTACTTCATCCTCATCATCTGTCACCGCTGGGTAGCTAGAGCTTGTAGGAGGGTGCTGGTGATTCTTGCGGACACTTCCCGGCCGTGAACCCCCGTCTGCTGGGATAATGGCGCTTCCATTTAGCTGCCTTACAATCTCAGTGGACTGTACCATCGGGAAGGACGATGGCGTGAGAGGAGGGTGGAAACGAGTTTCCTGCTGCAAAGACTCAGAGTAGTCACACTTCTTAATTGCATCATCATTAGGGTGAGTATGCAAAGGTGAAGCTGGGTGAGATGCATTCCACAATTTGATGAAATCAGGCTTTGACTTGCCCAGAACAACACATGAACAAAGATACACTTACTAAAGAGATGGTGCTGTTTCTCACATATGTCTCCACTCGGAGTCGGTTCTCCTCGTCTCTGTCCAGAAGCTTTTCTCTTCCTCTCCGCGAGTTGTTGTGTAGAACTGGTCTGCCCAAGTAGTCAAATGCTCCCCCTCCTCCCCTGCCACCTGAGATACTAGATCGGCTGTCGCGGCAGTGAGCCTGCTCCTGTCAACACAGGAAAAGACACTGATCAGTATTCACACATACACTGATTAGGCCCACAGATTGTGATCTCTTTTTCACCCTAACTTAAACAGAAGTGACTTTAGACATAGAGCAGTGTTAGTTTGAAGCAGGCCAAATCATAGTGACATAACTTAATTCACTTCTGATGCACAGTAAAGCTGGGGTAGGCATCTTAATTTTGGCATCATTGGGTAAAAATCTGATTATAAGATTTGAGCATAGTGTAAAGTGGTCTGAGAGAACACTACTGCACCTCCACGTGGCTATTTTCAGGCTGTAGAAAATCTAGCCTTTAACCAATCACAGGTCATTACAGAGAGTGCAGCTGTCAAACATGTTAACACACACACACACACACACACACACACACACACACACACACACACGAGTGCAGTACTGACAAGCACAAACACACATAGGCAAGTAAACAAACACACACAAGAGTGCAAGACAAGCTCAAACACACAAAGAGAAAACAGACAAACACAGACGCAGAAACACACACACACTAATTATGTTAAAATGTCATTCAAGTGTTTAATGTCACATTTCACCCCAGGCTCTGTTACAACTAACCCAGACTATGGGGTGAATTGTAACATTTCAGTCCTTGTGTTTGAGACTACACCATGCCCTGTCTGTTACAGCTACGCCACTTAATAGCAGACACATGTAATTAGGTCGTATCACATTTTGAACGCACTGGCTACAAAGAGCTGCAAGATACAAACAGAAATGTCAAAAATGTTCTAACCATCCAATCTCCCCTGCAGTTTGTGACCCCACTGCCATGTTGTACATAGGCATGGCAAAACGAAGCCCTGTCCATGGGCCAGAGCAAACTTTCCCATTTACTGTAACAGCTAAATGGTACACTAATCCTTGCTGAGAAAAAGTTACCTACTGTAGCTTTGATGAATTAAAGCAAACATTCAACATATTGGGAAACATGCTTCTTTGCTTTCTTGCTGAGAATTAGATGAGAAAATTGATTCCACTGTTGTATCTATATGCTTTGTCCAGAGGTGACAAACTCCACCTCCCAGCAGTTATATCAGTTACCACTTATCTACGGTTTGTTTTTTAATCTATAAAAAAAAAAAAAGAAGAAGTGTAAAACAGATATGTTGCAGTTTTAGCACCAGACTATTTCTTGACTGAGCGCAGTAACTTCCTGGTATCCGATCTTCTCATTTAACCCTCAGCAAGAAGGCAAACAATTTCCCTTTCCCACAGTTTCCTCTTTAAACATTTTCTAAAAGTGATGACTGATGTGAAAATTTCCTTTGCTAAAAATATCCCTGTTAGATGAAAATTCTGTCACCCTATTGGCAGATTTATTGAGTTATTTAGGAAATACAAGATTTTAAAACATAGTGTAACTGCTGTTGCTGGCGTGCCCTAGGGGCCCTTTAAAAAAATAGTTTTTGCCAAGATAAGCAAGATCATGCAAAACTTAAATGGGTCTGAAATTTCTGAGTAATGTCCCAATAATTTCCAAGATGCTTTGTAGGAAAAACTACAAATGTGAACTGAAAATGTTGGCATTGTACATTTCTGCAAACCACAAATATGTTACATTTGTACTTTTCATATGTATCATATAAATATTTCTAAAGTGACAAAAACATAGGCTGTTTTTTAATGAGTCATCACTGCATTTCCAGCAGCTTTTTAGTCACCAAACGTGGGTGTTTCTTCGCATCCTGAAACTGTTTTTCCACTGAGATAGTGCAGCGAAAAGTAATTTTGTAAGTTTAGTAAGTTTTTTACAGAGACATCGCTGTGTTTCCTGCTGGTATTGTGCCACCAAAGTATTTTAAGCCAAAACTTTCCTAACAATAACAAAGTGTTTTGTGTGCCTAAACCTAACCACACATTAATCACAGAATTGTTGAAATGTAAAGAAATCTAAAGTTTCAACAAATTCTACATAACATTATACAAATGTTACCTATCCATGGTTTGCAGAAACCTACAATGCTAACATTTATTCTGGCAACTGGGTTGACATGTCCAAAGGAGTCTTTTAGTCAGTGCACAGCAAGTTCAGTGAACATGCAAAAATTTGAATTTTGTCAACAAATGAGTATATCAACATGATAAAAAAAATCAGGTAATAATACACAAAAAATTAATTAGTTTATTTGTGTTTAAATTAGGGCTGCCCTTTCATTGACGACCAAACGTAAGTCGACCAAAAAAGTCATTAGTTGGCAAGATTTCATTGGTCGCTTATATGCAGAAAAAAACAAAAACAAATGTGAAACTCTATTAGGAGCTGCACCTTGTCAAAAATAAATCAAAACCTATATGACTGGACCATGTGGGAATTTAATTTGAAAGGACAGATACAGGAAGTGGCCACAATCAGTAGTCAGACAGGACAGGAGTCACGTTAATTTACAGGGCTGGTACCTGCGGTTATTACACAGGCTAGTTAATAACATGTTGAGCAGGAAATCCAAAGTGTTGGATCATTCGGAGAAAGTGAAGGACGAACCCAGCAATTACCATTTGTTGACTACAACCATGATGTATCATCTGAAACATGTAAGTAGCTACATGCCCATTAGCCACTTAGCACAATCATTACTGCTTTGCCAACAGCATCATTAACAGGCGGCTCGCTCTGTGTGTGACGTGCACTTGTAAATAAAATATAGGTCTATATTAATGAAGGTTCATCAGTACAGTTTTGTATTTCTCTGTAATGTAGCACAGTGTTAACAATGTTACTTATATTGTTCTTTCTCAGATCTTGTACTCAAACCACTGTGTTGCACCGACAAAAATATATAATTTAACCATTAAATTAATATCAAATGACGACTATAGACTACTATGAGTTCATCGTTTCCAAAAATTAATAACAAATGATATAGTTCTTTCCAGGACACATCAGGAAGAATAATGCTGAATAAAATTCAAGGGCCACTGAATATCATAAGGTTTTAGCAGTGTAGCTAAAGCAGGGGTGCCAACTCATTTTAGTTCCTGGGCCACATACAGCCCACTTTGATGTCAAGTGGTCCAGACCAGTAAAACCACTGTATAATGACCTATAAATAAATAACAACCCATTTTTCATTTTTTCCTGTTTCTTGAGGTACATGCTAAAAATGCTCATCCATTTGCTAAACAGATGATAACCAGCCTGAGATGTCTTGAGAAAAATATGTGCAATTCAGTCAGTACCACTCACTACCACTCACTGTCATTCCATGTGCATTCTTCCATACATGTCCACTCCTGTGTAGTAATGCTGGCATCACCACACCAAACTAACGTGGAAGCTATTGAGGAAGCAGGTTGAGTTATCCCCTGCCTTACAGACTATTTACAAACCAAATGTTTTGGCAGTGACCTAGCGACTGGGTTGGATAGGAGATAGAAGTCTGTTTTGCACAAAGATCAATATTTTTAAATATGACCATAATAAGTACTCACTGTTTTGTCAGAGAGCTGTGACTCACTGTTTAACTTGGGCCAGAAATATGGCGCCTCTTAGCCTTCACAAGTGCATCAATATGAGTCACCAGTGGGCCAGATTAGATCCCTTAATGGGTCAGTTCTGGCCCATGGGCCGTATATTTGATAACCTTAGTCTCAAGTGTTAAAGGCTGATAACTGCAGCAACCATATAAAGAGTTTAAACAGTGAACTGGAATAACCTTGTACAGAACACCATGGTTCAGGTCAGCGGTATTACATGACACCATAGATGAAATTAAGGGGACAATTTGACATTATGGGGGCGGCACGGTGGTGTGGTGTTAGCACTGTCGCCTCACAGCAAGAGGGTTGCCGGTTTGATCCCTGGTGTGGGAGCCCTTCTGTTCGGAATTTGCATGTTCTCCCCGTGTCAGCGTGGGTTCTCTCTGGGCACTCCGGCTTCCTCCCACAGTCCAAAGACATGCAGATTGGGGACTAGGTTAATTGGTGACTCTAAATTGTCCGTAGGTGTGAATGTGAGCGTGAATGGTTGTTTGTCTCTATGCGTCAGCCCTGCGATAGTCTGGCGACCTGTCCAGGGTGTACCCTGCCTCTCGCCCAATGTCAGCTGGGATAGGCCCCCCCCCCCGCGACCCTCAAGAGGATGAAGTGGTTAGAAGATGAATGAATGAATGAATTTGACATTATGGGAAATATGCTTCTTCGCATTCCTCGTTTTTTGTTTCAAGAAATTCACAAGCCCTGCGCTAAAAACATAAGGCCCTTATCAATATCTGAGATGCACTAGATTCCAATTTGAAACACTGAAGATCAGAACTTATTCATCTGGCATCTGGGACAGTAAAGCCTCACTTTACAGCCCTGGCCCTGCATGCAGAGTAAGATAGATAACTAGACTGACCCCGAGTGAAGACAGGCTGGTCCTTATGGTCCCCTCCACCCTCAGAGGGATGTTTTCCTCTGTCTGCAATGAAAAGAAGCACAGGGCTGGATTAGCTGTGGGACTGTAAAAAAAAAAAAGTCTGCGCATCTAACATCATGCCCTTTGTGAAGCAATGATGGATGACAGATGTGATATTATCATTGATTGACATGTTATTTGGTAGTCATCACAGTACAGAGAAGAATCCTGTGATAAACGATTGTGTGAAACATGTGGGACCAGCAGCCTGAATCAGGTCATGCAGACACAGGAGAAAACACAAGATGATGCTATAGTAGAACACTATGCTCAGTATGAAAAGAATAATTCAGTCATAGTACCGCTCCTCTGGTATCTGTGCTGACAGAGTTCATTCTCCTAAAAGAAGCTTGCCTGGAGAGAGTACTTATTTCCTCCCTGTAAGAAACAAGACACAGAAAGAAAGAAAGAAGGAGAAAGATATTTAAATGACTGAAGAAATTGGCAGAGATCCACTGTGAATTATTTTTGTGAATTTTAGGTTTTAATGTAGTTCATACTGCATATTTTTCATTCTTTATTTAGTTTCATACATAGTTTCTGCTGTTATTTTGCACATCCAGCACACACAGTCATTTATCAACTGAACTTGACATTTTTTGCCGTTTTAAATCTACTTAGCACGCTCTATTGTTATAACTGTCAGTGCTAATATGCTTAATAGCCCTGATTTGCTCCATTCATAGTTATTCTTACTGGCTCAGTCTTCCCTGCGGATATTGTTAAAGTTTCATCTTATCTTATCTCATCTTAATTAAGAAAATCACAACATACTTCCTCTCAGTCAGCTCCCTCTCCAGCTTTTTGTTCTTGCGTTTGTGATGGCAAGTGACGCAGATTACAACAATGAGCATCAAGATGAGCAGCCCCCCGGCCACAGCCCCCACGATGATCATCAGCATGTTTTCGATCATGGTCTGCCCCTCGGGAGCATCTGTAAAGCAGAAAGTCAGCAAGGGAAGTTGGCAGATCTATTCTCACAGTGAGTCTTAGTATATAGTGTTGACATTGCTGTCATCTACCTTCCACACTAATCTCCACTTCCGCCTTCCCCACTCCCACATCATTCTTCGCCACACACTGGTAGGTGCCTTTGTCTGACAAGCTTAGGGGTCGCCCAAAAGCTAGTGTTCCATTAGGGTGGGGGATTACCCCTTCTGGCAAATCTCCACCAATTCTGCAAACAGGACAAAACAGTTACTTTACAGTGCATTTAGATTAACGCATAGACCTCATAATCTGGGTTAAGTGGTAATCCATATTTTTTACAAATGTTTTGTCATATATTCAAAGAATAACTAATCGTTAGGGACTGTACAAAAAAAAACCCTCCTCACAAAATCTTATAAGTGACGCTATTGATTGATGCAATGTATTTTGTCATTAATGACTATTAAATTTAAATCTTAATATGTTAATAGAAGAATAATTTTAATATCGCCACCTGATCGCACAATGGAGGTGTAATTAGCAACTGTGGACAACATAACAAAATGATGCATCCTGTTTACAGATATTCTAGCCAGTCTTTATTTTTGAACCAATAGCTGTCCCTGTCACTTATTCAAGTGTTTTGACACATTTAACTTTAAAGCTAGGGTAGGCAGTTTCATTTTTTAAGTCACTGGGCAAAAATCCTACAATAAACTTGTAATTCATGTGGTCTGAGAGAAAAATAGACCTCTGGAGTTCCTCTTGGCTTTGTTTTAGGGCTTTAGAAAATCTAGGCCATGACAGGAGATGTTGTCCAATTGTAGGCCATTTCAGAGAGAGGGCAATCCTATTGGCTGTTCCACAATTACAGATGGGCATGCACGCCGCTTCAGTGAAAGCCTGATTCAATAGCAGAGAATCTCACAGGTAAGGTTGCTATTATGGCATTTGCAACAACAGCCTACACTGCAAAGCAACCCAAAAAAGGAAGACAGACTTCTCAAAAAGAGTCTGAAAGAGAGTCTGATGGTAAACACAATGGCAAAAGCATTTCAGAGATGGAGAGTAAATGTTGCAAATAGTTTAGCTTTTTGCTAATGGGAGTTAAAGGCTCACGGCTGTGGCATCAAGTTCAGGTTTATGCAGCTAACTTAAGCTAACATTAGAGCCTCAAAACACAGTATGTTCTTAGCCTCACCCCTCACAGACAACCTCAGCGAGAGAAGAGAAGGCAGCAGCTCCAGAGACAGACCCCCAGTCGGCCAACACAAACTCAAGCTCTGGGGGAACCGCACAGCTCTGACTCCCTGCCCTGGGGAGTGAGGCGGAGGGACTATGGGGTGGCTAGCAGCTAATTCTTGTCGCATTTGTGGTCTCGTGAACAGAAGGAGACAGCAGGGCACGAAGGGGTTAGTCAATGCACAGTCTGCAACTCTACAATGACTAAGATTAGGACAGAGAGGTCAGAGCTGCAAGAAGGGGATGTACGTATCTTCAGATTCTGCCTTTTTTTTGGCCTTTAATGTACTTCTGCTTTCTTTTTTTTCTCACCCCTTCACCCCACCAAATGGAAAATACATCTTTTCTGACTGACTTCACAAGTGATAAAAAATTGTCACTTGTGAAGTTGTAATTTCCGTGGGATGCCATATGCTTTATTCAGCCATGTTGCCTATAACTGCTCATGCTGACCACACTACCATTTCTGCTTTTTATTTCAAACTAGAACACATAAAGCACATACACAAAGGACAGTTATGCTTGTATAACACAGGATTAATCAGTGAGGTAGAGTAGAAATCTGATTTATTTATATTAAAAAAACTCTTTTTTAATCTATGTTACAGCAACATAATGCCCCTCATTTATTTGGAATCACCATATATTTCCTGGTAGTGTGACTCAGGGATGATGTTTTTAAAAAGTCGATGAGCAACACAGTCCAGGGTGTTGCCTCACTGTTGTTGTTTTGAGCACATTTGATTTAATCATTTGAAACAGACTTGACCTTAATGCCTGCCTATAGCTGGGAACATTATCAACCTGCATTGCCCCAGAAGGACAGAGTGTATTTCCCCAATTATACGAACATATGCACTCAAGTAAACTTAGTTTCTATTCACAGAGGCCACACTAACCCCCACCACACACAGAAAACAGGAACTGTCTGTTTTTTTCACATACGCAGTAGACACACCTCCGTGATAAAATCTCACACAAAATCTACACATTCTGCTTTCTCTTCCTCCTCTCACCCCCTTGCCTTGGCTCACCCCAGCCCCTCTGCCTATACCTGCTCCCACTAGTTCACCTCTCTCACTGGGGCCGCTCATCCCTTTCCCTTTTTCTTCTCATCCCCCCTCTTCCTCCCTCCTTCGTGTGAAACTGTCTCATCTGTCTGCTCTCAGCACAAGTCGCAACACGACACTGTGACACCAGCTATTACTTCACCCGCCGCCTTTTATTGACAAAGCTAACAGGTTTGCCCGCTGCTGCAGACGCAGCCGCACATTTGTGTGTGTGTGTGTGTGTGTGTGTGTGTGTGTGTGTAGGTGTTCATGTGAAATGTGTGCATGAGTAAGGAGAGGTTGATACCAGAGATTTTGAGTGCTGACTCGGTGCTGTGTATGTGTGTGTATACATGTTCACTTATGAGTGTGTATGCTTGTGTTAATGGTATTTGTCTGGTGAGCTGTACTCACAAAAACTCATTTTACCAAGGTGTGTTTCTGTGACTAACAGCAAGTGATATCTACATCATCGTCTGGCAAATACACCTCAAATCAGAAGAAACCTTAAACATTTTACTCACATTTCTTTATATTTTAGGAGTTCCTATGCCCTGTCAAAGGAATTTCTCCCTTGGGGCCTAACTGTCTCTGATCATAATGCCATGGGAGCCATTCCTCTTCCAGTCACTTTGAGTAGCTCATGTTTTTCGAGCCAAACTCCACGCCACACCCTAAGAATATTAATGCACCAAAGGAATTGGCTTAAAGACGACAACAGGTGACTCAAGCAGAAGAAGACGGATCTGAGTCAAACCCTCGTCTGGCGTTTAAAGCTGGCCAGCAATGTGCCACATTTTTAAATGACACACACAACATTTGAATGTGTTAGTTTCCACTGAAGCAGCAAAATCCACAGGTGACAATGCTAGGGCTTGTTTGGTTAAGTCACGTGGAAAGGGTGGAGATCCACCACAGCGTCACTGCCAACTTCAGATCAATTTGATAAACTTCAGATATAAAAGCTGCAGAGTTTATTCATGTTTACTTCAATAGTTTCTCATTGAAATGACATTTGTATGAGGTCAAACAAAAGTATTGAGTGCATTTTCTTCTTTTTTCAACTTTTGTGGAGCCAATTTTCTCCATACATGTTTTAAAGTATGTCAAAAAAACACTTTGCTATGGTGAATACATTAATTAACATGGTTTTCCTATATAAAAATATTTAAAAATCTGAAAAGGGGTTGGCAGCAGATCTACTCTTTCTCCCTCATTGAGAAAATCTGGATCTGGCCCTCCGCCCCAGCCACCACTGCTACTTGTGGAAAGTTTTGCTTTTGCTTTTCACTTTCTTCAGCACAGGCACAGTGCTAAAATGAAGTGTGGAGATAGGTCTGGCTATGTGAGACTGGCACGAGGTTGACTGGTGAAAGAGCAGTGCGTATCAAGATCGTTAGCAGTAGCATTAGCATGAGCATTAGCATTAGTGTTAGAGGAAAAGCCTCAGTCAGTGCCAGCCTCAGATAGGGAGTCTGTTGTGCATCAAAATCGATGACTCGTACATGTATCAGAATAAGTGCAGTTAGCTCCTCTTATTTAATTTTGTTGTTTGTTAGCTTGTTGGCTAATGGGCGGTGACTAACACAACATTAGTAGCAGGGATGCATAAAGAGAACTGGTTACAGTGTGGGAGGTGGGACCTCATTCATTCCTATGAAAGTTGCTCGGTGGCTCATGAAGCCAAAAAAGTTTGACATCCGAGGTACAGAATTACTCATATATTCCACATCATTGGGCCCATAGAGCATGTGTACTGGAGACTTTCTCCGGCTAACTGCTAATTTCCAATTTAGCGCTTTGCTAACTTGAATGCATGGGGATAAAATGATTTAATCGTGCAGCTCTTTTAGACGTTTCGAAATGTTATTGGACTGAATGGATCAAATCCTACTAGTGAAACCAGTCATTTTGTGGGGGTTGTGCCACTCAAAAAATGTATTCAGTGATTTCGAGATGTCTCTTTAACATCTAGTCTATGAGATACAATCTTTCTGGGCCACATGGCGTCATGTGATGGACCTGGATGCTGTGGTTCCACAGTTTGGCCACTATATCAAATTGGCTTCTTGTACCACTTGTAGGAGTTTTTACACATACAATTATACCTGCTATGGTGGGGTTTTGGTAGATAGTGTAACAAAGCTCCAGGGTTTCATTTACATCCAAAAACTGCACACTCTACCACGTTTGCTATCAAAATTTTCATTATGCTAATGCTAACTCGCGCACTCTGTACCGACAAGTCCACTCTGCACTGGAGGTTTTAGGTGTCTTTGCTGCTGATGTTTCAAAGTCTGTTACCCTCTCCATATGTGTTTCCCGTATTAGACAGCGATTGGCTTTCGTATTAGTGGCATACCTAATCTCGCTCGCCCTGGGCAGCCTGCATTTGAATCTCAGATTTTAGGGAAGTGCAAAGACATCGTCCTCTTCAGTAGAAGAATGTGAAAACACCTCTGTAGTGACAAACTCTGTACAGATTCAAGTCAGTATAGTCAAAGTCAGACATTTTAGGGGACCTACACAGGAGAAAAACATATTTTTGAGTGGAGGGGATCTTCAATTCTTAAATTGTTTTCATTAGATTTTTTACATCATGTTCATTTGTTAGCAGTCTTCTTCAGTGCCATTGTGAGTGTACTGGTACATTTCTTGTGCACTGCCACACTGTCAGTCAGCGGAATACGCTTAACAGATGGCAGGAAACCATCAGCATGACTGTGTATGACACCAGCAGGTTTGCGTGCGCTCATGATACAAACAAAACAGAGGGTTAGTTCTTTATTTTCCATACACTCTAATCAGCCAATTGCACACAAGAATTTGTAAGTCTAATACAACTGCACTTATGACTTGACATGAAACTGGCAAACATCTCTATTTAAATCGAGTTAATAATAAAAGATGAGGTCATTCTCTCGAAACTGATCATTAAAATTTATAGTGTAGCCCACGTCAATATTGCTTTGAATGAAATGCTTTTTGAAATAGCTTGTTGGCCCCTGACAATGCCCTGAGTGCAACCTCACTGAACATCCCATTTGCCCTTTTGACTGGTGTAATCGTAGCAAAATAATTGGTACAATTACTCCCAGAGTTACGAGAAAAGTAACAGTGACCAGACACATCAGACGGTTAGTCACTTGAGTACCAGACAGCCGGAGAGGGAGGCGGGTCCTACTGTACCTGATCCAGGTGAAACTCTGTGGTTTGGGGTTTCCTCCACTCACACACCTCAGGGCAGCATTCTCCATACCCACGATCCAGTCTTTATTGTAGCCAGCCACCTCTGCATGTGGAGGGACTGAAAGGAAGAACAATAATTCATCAGGGTTGTTTTGCCAGGGAACATGGAACATTGTAAAACAAAAATAGGACCAGGACCTAACGTGCAGCAGCTATGGCTGAATAGTCAAGCTTTTAGGAAGCTGATGCAGTTGTGAATGACAGCTTTCAATGATACAACATTTCACAAGGAACCAAAAATAGTCTTAGTACCCTGAGTATTTCCTGTAAAATTATCATGTATTAGATTTCACATTAAAGTCATAAATAAGGAAAGGGAATTTAATATGGTAGAGTCATTTGGGTACTGCAAACCAAACTCAGTAATAAAGAGAGGAATGTGAAAAGTGATACAGTGCTTGTAAAGTCTCTTCCTGCTTTGAAGTAATATGGCAGTGATAAAAACAGGAAGTAAAGCTCTGAAAGTGCTACCAGTGTGGAAAAACTTTTTTTTCTTAGATGGTCTTTGAATGTTTTGAAAGTATCATTGTTTTGGTTTAGAGTGTGTTTTTAAAGGGACCAATTCAAACCTTGATTTGTAAAATGTAACAATGTCTTCTGTGTGATGGTGATAAATACTCACAATGCACCACCAACTTGTTTGGGATCCTGCGGGGGCCCCGTAGAGTCGGATGCCACACCAGACAGTCCAGCTTCTTGCCGTTCATGCCCCTAAGAGGGTGCAGGGAGTAGTGTGAGGAGACCGCCCCATTGTCGGAGCTACGATTGACGGACTGGCCGCTCAGGTCGGTGTCCCAGGAGAGGCGGGGAGGCGGGCGGGCTACAGAGCGACAGGAAGCGGCCTGTCGGTAGGGCTGTCCCTCCACCAGGACCACAGGTTCCAGGGAGGAGATGGGAATGGCTGGAGGGGGGGTTGTTACAGTGTTTGGTCAGAGTGAAGATAGTGATGATGAGTCAACACTCTTAGCAGGCAGAGCTGAATGCACACATAGACTTAAAGACATCTGTAAACAATTTTCTCAATCAGCTATTAAGACTGACTGGTACATGAACACAGTTTTCAACAAAATTCAGAAGTATTTCCTTGTTTCAAATAACAGATTTCTTTATTTGTGTTTTTGTTGGTGCTTTGCTTACTGGTTTGAAGTGGGCGGAGCTCAGTTATAGAAAGCTGGTGTCATGCATTTCCTGCTAAGTTTTAAATTAAGTGTTAAATATTAACTTTATTATAATAATTTTAGTTACTATTTTCACATTCAGTGCTATAGAAAATCCAAAGCTTTCAGGGCCTTTAGTACTTTAACTTCTTAAAACTTCAGGTGGAGGATTCAAGTCACATGACTCGACTCGAGTCTGACTCGAGTTGCAAATTTGATAGTTGATAGTTTGTGATTATGACATACATATATACATATATATATATGTTAACTAAAATGTAAAGTCCTTAAAAGTTCTCTGTCTCAAGTCAAAGTCCAGTCTCAAGTCAAGAATACCAAGTCAAAGTCAAGCTGAGTCCTTCATCAGTGTTCGTCAAGCAAGTCTCAAGTCCTAAAATTTGCGCCTGGAGTCAGACTCTGGTCAAGTCATGTGACTTAAGCCGGTCAGTATGGCCTGACTTGTCACTTCCTTGACCTAAGGAAAGACTGAACTTGACGTGTTTGATTCTAACCACAGTGACTTGGGACTTGCTTGAGACTTGAAGGTTAAAACTTGCTTGTTACGTGGACATGCGACCTACTCCCACCTTTGCATAAAACAAATAAAATAGTCAGCTATAGTTACTTGTTATCAAGAGAAATTCAGTGTTGGAGCCTAGGTTAAAAAATGGAATTCGCATGTTGAAAAACAGCCATGCAACAAAAAGAAAGATTGACCGTGAAGGGTGAGCAGACAGTGGCACCGAGAAGGGGTGGCCAGGGGGGCCATGACCACCCTGATATAATTGCTGGCCCCCACACTGTTGAGAAGGCTTGTTCCCAGTAAATGTTTAGATCCTTACAATCAGTGTGCCCCTTCAAATTAAAACTGAATATATCTTAAATATGACAATCCTCCGGGAACCTTTGACACTCGAGAGAAGGATAATAATGTAAAAATGTTGGAATATGTATATATATTAAAAAAAATTGCTGTCTCTAAAAAGCCATCAGAAATATATTATCAGAAATTATTGTCATTAATTCCTCAACAAAATAAAATTACATTATGTTTGCTATTCTGGTGATTATCACCTTATAAGGAATACAACAAATGCTTTAATTGTGAGAAACGTGTGAGAAAAACGACAAATAAGGTGATAGTTAATATGTTGATAGTTAATATGTTGTTATAATTTTATTATTGTACATTATTGGGCCTTAGGTTAGATGTGAATCAGGTTGTGAAATATTGACAAGCAAACTAAAAAACAGTCATATTGATTCCCATTGTGACTAGATAGACTTTGGCAATTACTGTCAATTTTGATCCTTGTGCAAGATATTAGCACTCCTGTTTCTGCAGTTACAAACTTGACTAAGCTATACTTTTCTACTGTATGACCATGACTGAATGAAGGGACTCACTCCACACGGTGAGCGACATCGCTAAGTCAAAGTTGCCGGAGGGGAAGGTGCTGATATGGCAGAGGTATTTCCCCTCATCAGAGACTTCCGTGCTCATGATGACCAGAGAAGAGTCCAATGTGGGGTCGCTGCTTTTAAAGCGCACACGACGAGACCACGTACCAAACGCTGCAGAGAGGCAGAAAAGAGGGAGAGAGACAGAGTTAGGAAGGGAGAGAGTTTCAAGAGCTTATGATGAGGGATGTGACACAAAAAATTAAGTCCAGCAAGTTCAAAAAAGGCCTTGGGAGCTTTCCTTTGTCACTTTCAGTTCCATACACATGCTTGCACTCATGCTAGAAATTACATTTACATTCTGGGCGTTTAGCTCAAGGTCTTTTTCTGGCATGCCTCACACTCACAGTCGGTGTTAGCCTCCATTCCTAATTCAGCACAGTAAGAAACGAAACCAAAAATAAACAGTGCAAAGATCAGAATCTTGGCACCTGAAAATATTCCTGTGATATCACAGCAAAATTGTCAGTTTCTCACAGTCTTGAGTTTATTTATTTATTTTAGATGGTTGTGAAGACCTGCCTTAAAGCTCTATTCGTTCTATGAGCAGAGGAAAAAAGCCTCCAACCAACACTTGCCAGCTGAAACCAGAAATTTTGCTCGGTGGAATGAGCACATCAGACTTAGTGCTATGACAAGAAGAAAGTTACTCACTGTGAGGAAAAGAGAAGTTATTCTTAAATTAACTTATTTAGCATGTGGCAGACAGAACACAACTAGAGCTAGGCTACGGCGCCAACCAACCTGTCTGTCCATTAGTATGGTGTGCAGTGATGATCTGCTCCTTGTCGCCATCGGATTTCTCCTTATACCAGGTGACCTGCACCAAAGTTTCATCAGTTGGCTGGTAGCGACAGGGCAGTATGGTCTCCTCCTCTGCCAAGGAGAGTATGGGATCCTTTGGAGGGAGATCCACAAAGTCTCCCCGTATCACTGTAACTAAAAGAGGAGACAGGTTGGTAAGTCATCACATCTACCCAAGAAATATAAGAGATGTAGAGAGAACAAGATGCCAAGCAAAACGAGTCCTTTGAGAGATCCTGCAATTGGCTGATTAAATGATAAATAATTTCATTTTGAAAAACTTTGTTTCTTGCATTCTGGTGACTTTAAAAGACTCAAAAAAAGAAAATAACATCTACACTGCATTTTTATGTAAAAATACTTTTAATTCGCTTTTACTTGACGTTAGCATGATGTAGCTACATGTAGCTAGCAGTGTACTTGCAGATGGGGGATGATCGTAACGGAGAATAGCAGCATTTTCTACCCTGAAAAATCACCATTAAAAGCTTCAGACACAACCAGACATGTTCCAGCAGGAATATGATCTGTGGTTGGGGAGAAATTTACAACATCGGCACCCAAGTTTACATGTTTCCCTGATGTTAGCATGTAGTTACATATAGGTTAGCAGAGTACTTGCAGGTGGGGGATGAACGTAACGGAAAACAGCAGCTCTTTCTACACCATAAATAGCTTCTTAACACATCACACTGTAGTCAGAGTACAAAACAAATGTCGAATAAATGAGATAGAATGGTAGGAAACCTGTGGTATTGCTCACAAGGATTCATTTACATTATAATCTAAAACTTTGGCTACATTTGATATTAACATTCTTCATTATAACACTAAGACACAAAAGCACAATAGGTCCCCTTCAAAACTTTCCGTAAGACACAAGACTTATTCTTTTCAGGGTGTCTGAAATTTGGTTGAGTATTGCTTTCTCTTAGTACTTTCCATCTCTCTGTCCATCTCTCACTCAAAAATGTCAGAGGATGAGGCGGGAGCAGCTGTCTTCACCGTCACTAGCTGTTTATTTGTTGTCTGGGTGGAAACAGCAGACTTTCAGAGTAGAGGTGCGTACATGCTTTACAATGCCAGAAAAGGGTTGTGATAACGAAAAGGAAAATATGTCATCAATGCAGGACATGGTGATTAATGCAGCAACTTTCTCAATAACTTGCCCATTTTACGACAAGTTGGACTAAGTTTTGCGTGACTGTTCATTGTTTAGCCCAATGGAAGGTGATCAGTTGGATTCTGCTGACAGTAATATCTCCCGCTGTAGGACACAACCGCTCACATGAAGAGCAAGAGCGCTTTGACATAAGTTCGATCCAGTCACCAGAAAAAATGTTGGAACTGTATGTTTCTGCAAACCACAGATACCTGCATGTTAATATGTAGTCGATACCTTGAAACTCTACATTTCAACATTGCTATGGTTAACAGGTGGTTGGGTTTAGGTTAAAAAAGCCACTTGGCTATGGTTGGGGAGAAAAATCATATTCTGGATTAAAATGCCTGGTTTTGGTGCAACTATAACTGCTGGAAAAACAGCAATAGGCCCCTAAAAACACCCACGTTTGGCAGCTAAAAAGCCATTGGAAACACAGCTGTGATTCATGAAAAAAAAAAAAAAAACAGCCGCTTTTGTTCTTTGTTGTTCTTGGACTGTGATCTGCAGCTTGGCAGGTGTCACCTAGGAGTCATTTCCACCTCATGATAACAAAGTCAGCTCATGTCACTTTGGAATAGTTGATATGATACGTATGAAACATACAAATGGAACACATCTGTGGTGTGCAGAAACGTACAATGGCAACATTTTCTTCTGGCGACTGGGCTATCCAGTTATGTAACAACAAAATCTGAACACAAGTGACACATGACAGGGACAGGGGGACAGCTGAGAAACATCAAATTTTAAAATCAAGTGTTTATAGGGTCTTAGGTTCAATGTGTAATACAGTGACACTGACCACAACACAAAATCCCTACCAGCTCTACCACATCCCTGAGAGTGACCTTCGACCTGCAACCTGAACCTGTAGTTCCTCGAAGAGCATGTAAGAGAATAATAATTGCTAATTTACACACTCTGAAGCCAAAGAACACTGCTCTTCTTGCTAATTTGCCAACTTCAAAAGAGAGTAGAAGCTAATATTACAAAAGCATGTGCACCTCTGGGGCGTCGGTGGCTTAGTGGTAGAGCAGGCGCCCCATGTACAAGGCTGTTGCCGCAGCGGCCCAGGCTCAACCCCAGCCTGTGGCCCCCTGCTGCATGCCTCTCCCCCCTCCACACTCAACTATCCTATCAATTAAAGGCAAAAAATGCCCTAAAAAATATCTTTAAAAAAACAAAGCATGTGCACCTCCCTCCGAAGAATGTTGTCTAGCCTTACTACTTTATCTGTGCTGACCTTTCAAGTTCAAGCTATAGCCATAGGCTACTTATCTAGGTTGGGTAGAGATCAAGTCACAATCATTTCTGCTGCAGCTTCCTCTTCGCCATCATTTATTTGCCTTCTTCTTGCAGCGTTTTAGATGAGAAGATGGATACCACTCTCATATCCACCCACTGAATATAAAGCTCCAGCCAGCAGCCAGTAAGTTTAGCGTAACACAAAGGGTTTTCATGAGATACAGTTGCTCAGTGTTCTGGCCTTGGATCAAAAAAGGTTTAACATCTACAGAATGATTGAATCGGGTAAAAATATCACGGCATGTATGACAATACATATTCAGACATCAAACTTTGACTTGAATGCTAGATGAGCACAGACAGGGTTTAAACAGTTCATGCAGAGTGAAGACAGAGAAGAGGGAGGAGAGAGAGAACAAGTTGTCTATGAGGAGAAGCACAAGTAAAGATATGTCGCTTAACTAGTTGTTCGAGATAAGCTTTCAAAGTAAACTTACAGAGGGTTACCACAGTGTCTGGACAGAGCGAGACGTTCAAGGCCTCAGGAAACATACAAGACGTAGAACACGTACACTGTGTATTGTGTGCATGTCACACTGCAATGCTATAAACCACAAACACATCTCTTTCATATTACTGATTTTCTTATCTTCTGTTTGATGTCGACAAATTATAATGTGACAGATTATCGTCTGCTGTCCTCCAGCAATCTCATAAAGTACACACACATTAAGTGAATATACAGTCACGAGATGTAGATCACGACAACCTGCATTTAATGGTAAACAAGAAATGTTTGTAGGTGCGCTGCTAAAGTAAAACTCTGTGTTGTGTAAGTTCTACTAATGCCATCAAGTGTAATGTTTGCTTATGCTACCTAAAGCCTGGACAGGTGATTCATCACCACAGTGTATTATTATATTGCTGCTCTTGACATCAGGCTTCTGTCGCTGGTGATTGATTCTCTTTCAAAAGGAGCGATTTCCTGATGATGATGACACCATTGAGACCGGAGGAAAACAGCTTGTATGGAAAATGAATTTCAGCAGGTGGATGACTCATACACACTGCTGATTTATCAATTCACAACATGACAGACCATGTGCATGTAAGGTGAAATACAGTACATCTGGCCTTTTCACCACTTGCCCCTACAATGGCCTAATGACCAGTAGAAGCGAGCCTCTTATCTATGATCACTGTTCTCACTGTTTGCTATCATAAACAGTAGTTATGGTGCTGTAGACAGTCATGGTAACTTGTTTTAACTGATCACTAACAGGATCTGTTGTCACAAGTCTACATTTTCAGGTTCACCGTTGTGATCTAATCTTGAAAGTATGTAAGTATTAGTGGTAGAATTGTTACAAGAGAACAAGGGGGAGACTGGGGGCAATTGTAGCAATTCAAATTGCACCTGTCAGATATGAGACAGAGCCATGAACTAATTATGCACATAGTCTATGATGACCCCTCCTTGCCTGCCAAAGAACAACTGATGTCTCATATGTGTAAAAGTTTTGCTGCAAAGAGTCATTTATGAGGTATTAGTATTTTCCTCCTTTAATGTCTATGAATTTAATCTGTCTAGTTTTGATTACCATTATG